AAAAAAAAAAAAAAAAAAGTAAAAATAAATAAATTTTGAGAGTCTGTCACCTCGGTAGAGTGCCGTGGCATCATAGCTCACAGCAACCTCAAACTCTTGGTTTGGGTTTAAGTGATCCTTTTGCCTTACCCTTCTTAGTAGGTAGGACTACAGGTGCCCACCACAATGCCCGGCTAGTTTTATTTTTAGTATAGACAGGGTCTTGCTCCAGTTGGTCTCAAACTCCTGAGCTCAGGCAATCCTCCTGCCCCAGCCTACCAGAGCGCTGGGATTACAGGCCTGAGACACCTCAAGACTATGTGTGGGTGCCCCTACATCCATCCAGTCAGTTGACATCCAAAACCATCATCATAAACCATGACCACTGGACAAGTGGGAGCCCTGCCTGCTTACCACTCCTGTCCGTACCTCTTCACCATCCGGTTCACCGCAACTGCTGCAAATGTGGCCTGGGGGTAAGTTCTGTCACCCCCATCATCCTAACAAATGGGCTGGGACCACCATCAGTACACCACAAAGTGATGGAATCATTCATTACATGGAAACATGGCCAAAGGTGTAACTTCCCCAACCAATATTTTAATTTTAAAATAAAAATAAACTTCACTACAGGAGCGGTACCTGTGGTTCAAAGGAGTAGGGCGCCGGCCCCACATATCGGAGGCAGCGGGTTCAAACCTGGCCCTGGCCAAAAAAAAAAACTTCACTATAGAAAATACAAAGATCACACATAATTCCACCACTTCATGCATCCTCCAGGGCCACATAAGCCTGGGACCCTCTGGGACCACCCAGCAGGTAGGCCGAGCGCTCAGTAGGCAGGTAGCATGTGCAGGGCCCAGGGCGAGTGGAGCCCACTGCTTGGATTTGCCTTTGGAGGCTCGCCCCTCCTTCTGCCCTCCTCTGGGCAGATGTGGCCTCCTCGGGCTGCCCCAAGACAAGCAAACCTGGCAAGACCCCCACGGAAGTCCCAGCCCAGGTTCCTGCCCCTGTCCTCTCAGGCCTCCTGAGGGCTGCTCTGTGGCAACAGCCTGCTCCTACTTTGGGTGTAAACACTGCCACCTGTCTCCATCCAACCAAACCCTGGGTGGGATAAACAACCGGCTGTCACAGTCCCTTACACAGGTCCACATGGGGGATGGGACCTGATCAGTGATCTTGATCGTTACTTGTGTACTGACAGGATTATGGGATTTGGCCTCCCAGAAGTGGTACTGAGTTTTTTCTCAGCCCAGATTTTTCTTTCATTAAGAAACAAAGCAGTCAGCCGGGCACGGTAGCTCATGCCTGTAATCCCAGCACTCTGGGAGGCTGAGGCAGGTGTATTGCTTAAGCTCATAAATTCAAGACCAGACTGAGCAAAAGAGAGACCCTATCTCTACTGAAGTAGGAAAAAACTGAGGCAAGAGAATCACTTGAGCCCAAGAGTTGCAGGTTGCTGTGAGTTATGACACCACAGCACTCTACCCAGGCCAACAGGTTAAGACTTTTGTCTCAAAAAAAAAGCTGTGAGTGAAGCCAGGCTTAGAGAGCAATGAGCCACTGGCTGTATCACAGCCACACTCTGGCCCCAGTCCACGGGCACCACTCTCCCCATGTGGAACATGAGCCAGTGATGGTCACTTGGGAAGAGCAGTCCTAACAGGAAAACACAAGAGAGATAAGACTATAGACCCTCCACTGGCATTAAGAACACATCCAAGGAAAAGGATGTGCCTGTCCTTTCCTGCCCAGGTGAGATAGCCCCAGCACCATTCCCCAGAGTGTGGGCCCAGCTCCTAGGTCTCTCTCCCTGAAAGATGTGTCTCTGGCTTCCTCTCAGAGGGCAGATGGGGAGGCCTTGGTGGCTGCACCCCCTGCTGCTGCAATTTCTGCTTCTTCAGTTCTCGGTAGGCCTGCACGACCCGCTCTCTCTCCACCTCCATAATCCGCTGTCGGGCCAGGGAGGTTGTTGGAGGCTGGGGTGTATCAACAGGGCTCACGAGCATCCTCAGCATGAGGAATCTCTTGCCAGGCTAAGGAAGAGAGGAAGAGAGAGGTACAGGCTTGGAGAGGAGGTGAGGGAATAGCTCATGGGCCAGCAGCTCTGCATCCAGTGAGAAAGCAGTGCTCCCACAGCCCCAGCCCCTGCACCAGACAGTCACATGCTGGCCAAGGCATTTGTTTCCTGACAGCAGGACAGGGGAACAAACTCAGTAGGTCTCTTACCACCAGCCCCTGGTGTACCTGGTCACTGCCTATGCTCCTCCTGGGCTTGGCAGTCAGCTCTGGAGGCTGTAGGGCAACTTCACCAAACTTCACCCTGTCTGAGGGACAGACCACATGCACAACTGAGGCCTGCTGTCTACCCAGCAGCCATAGCCCTGGCACCTGGAACCATGATCTGCCCACGAGCCTGTCCACCCTCTGCCAAGGGCCAGGACAAAGAACACCCCCCTGTCCACTGGTATGGACCCCAGGGGAGACTGCAAGTGGCACCACTCCTGTGGGAACAGCTACCTTGGAGTAGCTCCTGCTCTAGCCTTTCTGCTGCCTTTTCCTCTTTTCTCTGCCGGATCTTATCCAAACGCCGCTTCTGGAACCTGAAGGAGAAAGCACCAAGCTGTTCAGATTCCTAAACTGTCTCCTCATCAAGGAGAAGGCAGAGGCCAGCTGGCTCACTAGGGACGCCCTGTGGCAGACCCAGGCAGCTGCCTCCAACCCACTCCTTGCATTACTCCAAAGCCCATCATGGCTCACCAGAGAACTCCAAACCCAACAGGCCTCTCTAAAGTTCCCAAGTGAGGAATGACTGCCCCCCAGGCAATATTTGACAACGTCTGCAGACATGTGGGCTGTCACATCAGTGTAGGTTATTAGCACGTGGTGTCCAGGCTGCGATGCCACTGAACACTTGCAATGCCTGGAAAGACCACTACAAAGTCACCAGCCGGTGTCCACTGTGCTATTGTGTCTAAAGGGCCCAGCAGGCTCGGTGCCTGTGGCTCAAGTAGCTAAGGTGCCAGCCACATATACCTAA